AAAATAAATAAACACGGTTTACTCATAAAAATGGTATTATTTATATGTGTATGAAACCTTAGGATAATTTCATAGTCCTTCAGTAAATTTTGGATATTCATACGAACATGTCCAAAATAGTAAATAAATAAACATAATATATTAAGTACGTCTATATACTTTATGATAGACTGGGTGCATTTTTTATTGTACTAAAATAATCATTGCATCATTGCATTGGTAACACAAAATAAATTGCGTTAGTACCGTCGATTCGAAGTCGATACCGTAAAATATTAACTAATGATAATTCAATATATTCGATCTAATTAAAAAAAATAGTATATACAAATTACTAATGGAATTCTTCGACGTACCTATTTAGGTACTCAACAAGCATACCTAAATACCTACAGCTATTGAAACAAGGGTCAAAGGAATATTGTTAGCCCATCCATTCATTAAGAACAATGCTCGGCAATGTGCCCAAAACACAGGTTTCGTAATTAATCAGACAAAGTTTTATACAATAGGACTACGTACCTATTAGTACCATAATAGGTGTAAGCAAATTTTATTAATTAAAAGGCATAATTCGAATTCTATACATAAGAAATAAAATAATTAACCCTTGCCAAACATACGGCATTAGCAGGCTGAAAGTTGACTAGGGAATTTTTATTTTATTTATTATAAGAGAATGGTACAAAAGGCAGACCTAATGCTAATAGCATTCTTTCCCAGTCAACCTTTGGGAAAAAAGAAAAGACGCGAACGGCGGTATAAAGCTAAATATACACATAATAAATAATATTAAAAATACTTAAAAATATATTAAAAATATTATTTTGTTGTAATGTACGATGTCGTTCGAGTCTAGGCACACAGAAAGGCGAATCGATACAGTATTAACAAAATGTGGACCAAAACATTCGAACCGCTTCGGTTCGCAAGTTTGTTTGGCAGAGGGATGTTATTGTTTTACTCCTGATTTGTTTCTGTGGTTTTATTCAACTTCATTATAGTTTCACTACCTAGTGTTTTATAATATCATATTACAGCCGCCAGAATCAGTGTATTGACTAATTTCGTTTAGCTTCATATCCTGTTTGAACGTGTTACATATTACAGGTAATGCAAAACTTATAAGTATACCTACTTCAAATGTGAAAATTTCAAGATTTATTCATTCTAACAGCTGTTAATGGTTCTGTTCATACACTCCTGTGTATTACATCCATTAACATTTATAACACAATAATATATCGAGTAAAGTATGATTTAAGAGAGACCTGATAAAGTACGTAAACAATTAACCTCGATAATGCAGTGGCAACAGAGCCTCAGCCGTCGTGCTTCAATAGCTCCACAGAAAATAAAGGATAGGTACGAGGAAAATAAAGCAACAAACGCAGTTTAATTATACTCCGTCGGACTTAGGAACCCTTCCTTTGAGGTGTCTCTAACAAACTGTGCCGTGAGTGATGACGAGAAATACGTAACTTATTACCTACTTGAATAACTTGAATTGTACTGCTTACACTAATAAAACGCAATATTTTTCGAGACGAACAATTATATGGAGTAAGAAATTTTTGAGATCTATAAACTCTTTTGACCTACTATTAATAGAGTTAATCAACTTTCAGTATAGCCAATATACAATCAAACTCATCGTACCTACTCAGTGTAATAATAACAAAATGTGTTGGGTAACCAGTGCTGTGGTGTCTAGTTAGATTAGAATCCTAGTCAGTAATAATTGGTAATATTTACCGACTGTCTCTGTTGTATTTGCAAAAACATTTAAGGGATCTGTCTAAACTGCGTTATTAATTTATTTCTATGCAGCAAACAACAGTACTAGACGTAATTAAAACAACGGCGCCAAAGTCTACCTGTGTCGGTGCCTTTTCATTCGCTCGCAACAAAAAGCTAATGCCTATGCAGGCGAGATGCGCGGCAACTTCTCACAGTACCACTTCGCCCTCCGTTACCTCGTCCCGCAATCTACAAAAAAACAACCTTCCAAGGATACAACCAGCGTAATTTTAAACTCCGTCCAAAATGCAAACCGATTTCAACTCTACACGTACGCAGGTACGTACCGAATTTCTTTGCATAACAACAAAATTGTTTGCATCAACGAAAATAATACTTACTGCCATTGACATATAGTTTAATTTTGCAGTAACATTTAAACTTCAGAAGGTTTTCGAGGAGAGGAAAGGTAGAAGAGTGCGGGGGTTCATTAATCCCCGCGCCCTGCGCTCACGCACTTTCATGAATGGACCGAACAGGTTGATGTATTCCATGTACAGGATGAATCTATACTTCTATACTAATATTACGAAGAGGTACAGTTTGTGAGTTCATGATGTTGTAGGAGGTAATCTCTACTAAACCGATTTTGAAAAATCTTTTTTCAATAGAAGGCCACGTTAAGTATTTTTGAGTATCATATATTAACCCGGAAAGTGAAAAGACTTTTTCGTGATAGTCGGATTTGCAAATTAAGTCACACAAAAACTGTCGAACGAAAACGTTTCTTACGCGAGCGGTGCCTTAATGGATGGATAAGAAATATATTAAACTAGAAAAAATAAAAAAATCTAATTTTCTAGCGCGTCAGACATTGAGAAGGGATGTAACGTGAACCCTCCACTAGTTTGTATTCAGAACACTGACGTTTTGGACACGACCAAAAGACATGGTCGTTTGTTGAATTTTTTTTGCTACCCTAGACGTTTGGCCCAACATAGAGGACTCAGGTATGGTGGGAGTTCTTCACAAAGTGCAAGGTTGCCGTTCGTATGTTATTCTGCCGCGCTCCAGTATACTCAAAATTCCACGCTTGGGCTCCCCTACCATTAGTAGTATTTACTAATAAAGAGTAGCAAATTTTCATTCACATTTTGTGCATTTCAATGTATTCTAATCGTAATCAACACATACTTCACATATGTAGCATTCCTACGTGACGATAATTAAATCAAATTAGAGATAGCATTATATTACTTCTACATAAAGCTCTGTTATCCTTTAAATAAATCAGTCACATAATGGTAACTTCATTGTCTTTGCTTCTCTCTCTGTCTATAGTACCTAGTAGTCTGCAATATCGGTATACAGTCAATGTGAATACGAAACAGTCTCGGTACGTCACGTCGTAAATATTTGAAGTTTTTATGAAAAGCAGGTCGATATAACGAATCGACTTCAAAGCATCTTTTCATCTTGTGCTGCGAGTACGTACTTGTAAATATTGTAATGTCATCATTTCCTTTGTCTGTTCGTATTGAGGACAAAGGTGATCGTATTTGAAGAGCTAATCGGCACATCTTTGTGAGACATTTATATTTAGGCTGGTTGGAAGATATACTAAAAATTAGAAACATTTTAAATATATTCTAAAGCCGAAGAAGCCTATCCTTCCTATTTTATTCAATTTTCCTGGCTTTCTTATTATTAGAGAATTTTTAATTCGTACTGGAGTTAAATTGCCAGAAACGCTCCAGGAACCTGTTTAACCTAACCGTTTATTCATCATCCTGTGAACGAAAGATTCGAAGGAAGCGCCGCAACGTCCGGCCGCGTGGATGTAGCGTGATGCTCTTTTTCCTTTTCGGTTTGTTTTTTGTTCATCTCATTTATTTATTCCAATGTAATCTCTTCCAGTTCATTTTTTATTCAGTCGGCCTTCAGTGTTACCTGTGCCGGGACGCTAATGCCTTGCCTATAGAAAATCTTAGCGCCTTTTACTAAAAACACTTTTCTAAAGTTTATTTTTCATATATTTTTTTTTTGTTGTTTCGTGAAAATACTTTTCTCGTAGAGTGTCGTGCTAATGTGACATCTTTAATGTGATTCAGTGTCAGTGTTTGTTCGTTATCAATGTTTTGTGATGATGGAACTACCGACTTATTTGTTCCTTCTGGCTCGGACTTCGTTAAGTAGTCTACATCACTATTCGATGGAACCTCCTCAGTCCCCAAAGTTTAATCTGCCGCTGTGGCAGCCTTGGGTATCTTCACCGGGTAAAGGTCAGTTTCAATTTGAAGTTATTGAGTTAAAATTTCAGTTGTTTGTATGAGAATGAAATTTTAAGTAACTATAATTTTAAAATATTAAATCCATTATTGATCAAGCGTGGTAACTTATAATCTGATTTATTACTATAACAAGCACGATATAAATATTGGTAAAGTTGTAAATTGGTTGATAGCTTGCTCCAAGTGTTAACTTAATTAAAAAAGGAAGCCTGTCTGAGATAAGGGTTCGCGGAAATTTAATTAAAATCTTCAATAGATATTGGGTCATTCTGTTATCGAATCCCAGGGAATTATGGGACTGGCGCGTTGAATTTTTATTTATACGTTGAAACTTAATTACTTACAAGAAAAATATTTTTTTTAGCGTTCCTACACAGAATTGAATGTTGTATAATATTATATTCCTTGAAGGGTTCGTAAAGCATGAGAGATAGACAGTAAGATACAAATAATAATAATAATAATTTTTTATTCAGTATTAATTTTTACATATAAGTTAGACTTAGATCTAAGAAAAAACAAAATGTAAAGAAAAAAACATAACCTGAACTACTAATATCCTGTATCTCAGGTAAGAAGATCTTCATTACTTTAAGTTTAAATAATCAATAGCCCAACAATACAAAAACAAAAATACTAAATCTACATAACATTAATTCTATTTAGACATGCAAAATTCTGCATCATTGCAGAGTTGTAATCTGGGTCAATAACGCAAAAACTTAAATACTGGATAATTAAACAAACTTTAACATTACCTACCCTACTTATCTATAACCACATCTCAACGACGTCATACTTGAGATTCAATCGACCTAAGATGTTGTTGTATCCTGGATTTTAGAAATATGGAACTAACTATTTAATTCAAAAGACTTTTTTTTGTGGGTGAAACTCTTCCTCGCTACTTATATTTACACACATTTGAAGTTAGAATCAGAAAACTAAGAAATGTTTTCTTATTTACAGAGACTCCTAGCACGGCTTCTAGTGGCGAATCAGAGGGTGACCGCACTCTTTCTCCTGAGGCACCAAGGACACCTCAACCCAAAGAGTTGACAGGCAAATGGAGAAGGGAGCGACGATCTACACGTCTTCCTGAATACAGGCCCAGGTAAAACAGAACTCCAGCAATCCGCACTGGGTCCCTCGGTGGCTCATGCCCCAATAGGGATGATGACGGAGTAAAGTAAACGAAATTCTATTAAGTCTGTCAGTTAAATTATTAAAAAAATAATGGACACTTATATTTTCTTCGTCGTCATAGTTTGAAAGTGGGCGCTGGTGACGTTACTTTTTAGTAATAATTGTACGAAAACGTGACGTCACGCAATATTTTAAATCAACATAATCTTTGTATTATTTTGAATATGTGAAAAATTCAAAATACATGTTCAATAATTTTTGATAATCTACCTGAAAAACGAAGAAAAAAGACAGTCATCATCCCTGTTCCATCCATAGAAAAGGCCTTTACCACAGCAGTGGAGACTTTAATATAGGGTGTTGATGAAAACAAAACTATGCATAACTTGACTGCTGCCTGTAAAACACGACGATCTCTATGGTATCAGTAGCTAGCGCATTCTGTCGCATGATCGTAGGATCATAGAAGTCAAACAACTTTCGCAATGACCAGTTATAAGATGGGTGATCAAAAACGTATCATCGCGAGCTCCTCCGTACTTCGAAAGGTTCGTTAAACCGTTGATCTCAGCTGCAATCGTTAAAACCCACCAATCAGCACTGTGACGAGTAGTTCATAGCCCAATCTCTCTATTCCGACCGATAAGGAAGATCTGCACCCCACAGTGGAGGTATTTACAAGCTGATAATATACGTCATAATTGCAGTGTAATACCTACACGTCTATGAATCAATAGCTATAATTTGGAGTTTTTTTCAAAATGTTCCTATATGATTTTGGGGAAGGAAACTGTAGCATCTAGAGTAGGATTGCCCTATTATCACTAATTTCGCCGAAATTCATACTGCAAAAAAACAAAGTCAACATAAATGTTAAGAGTCTGCAGTGAAGTGAGGTGGTGCAGAATTTACTTCCACAAATAAACAAACAATTATCATCATCATCACCCATCCAATGACCAACCACTGCGAAAGTTGCTTAACTTCAACGATCGCAGTCGAACGCGCTAACCACTTGCGCCATCGAGCAAAATAAACAAACGAACAATACCTATTTAAAAATAATATACACAATTTCTATATATTTTCTTTTATTTACACAATTTGCTAACGCCTACTACTGTTGGTATTTATTGTTATCCCGAGAATTCGATATCCGGAATGTTTTTCTCAGTCAAACAGGTGAATTGAAAGAAGTGATCTCATGACAACAAGGTCAACAACCATCAAATAATTCAGATCGAATGTCCAAAACAATAAACTTACGCAAATTGAAATAGGATACCTCATTAAGCTGTACTTCCTTTGTTGTAATCTAAGACTTGACAAGTAAATCTGATAAGTGTATTATCAATATCAGAAACTAAGTAAACTACTCGTACTTACTCCTACAATGCGAAGAGATGACGCTGCCTTGCAGCTTAGGAAGGGCTAGAAAGAATTCGACACGACCGTCAGGGCCGCGGTAGCATAATTATTGGTCAGTGCATTCGCCCGGTTAGCGAAGGATTCTTAGTTCGAGTCCCATCTGCTGCCTAGTCCGCGTGGAATTTTTGATAGTAATATTTTCCTTAGAATATTATGCAGTTACATGCTTAAAAAAAATACAAATTATAACTACTCTTACTTAGTTTCTGATAATGATAACTTTTTAAAAAGTACTTTTATTATCATTATTTACAAAACTCAGATAACCAAAATTAAGTAGTCGAATTCAATTTTTGGTGATGATAAAAAATCTCAATGCTGATTATGGGTAACTCCCCTTTCTCTTAAATAGCCAAAACTTACCGATTTTTTTTGTGAGGATTCAATATTAATTACCATAGCAATGTCGACTATGGTGACTGGTGGAATTGGACCATTCTTATATCTTATATTCTGACTTCAGCCAGAAATATTGTTTTAAACTTTTATGGTCACTAAAATGATAGCTATTAACGGGATTATTACCATGGTATCTAGAAAAACCAACAATATTATTGTTTGATTCACATCCACCTAATTAATTTCAGAGAGAATGGCAAGATGGCGCTGCGGTCGCAGTCGTTCAACGAGAGGCGATGCGTAGCCTCTGTGGCGCGTGCGCAACCACACAGCGACGGCGAACTCTCTGATGAGGTGGATGATGCACCATCTAACCTGGCTATCAATGGAAAAGGTAGATTTTTGTTATTATTTAAAAAAATGCTCCCCTTTACTCCACCCTATATGATTCTTAAAGGAATCTCATCATCAGAATTTAGAACTTACATGCATAGTGTCAAAAACAGACTCTTTGATTGTAAATATCTATATTAACGCTTATCTATGCCACGCCGTCCTAACTCTATTACTGTCTTTCCCTTTTATTTCTGTAATATTTGTACTTAATAATATAATCCTTTCCCCTAACCGCCGTTTCCTTTGTTGTCCTCGTCACATAGTCTTTTTGACAAACAAAGAGGACGAGACTTTAACAAGGGCTACATTTTTTAAGTCTCATTCCTTGCTTTACTCAAACTCATTTAAGTATTTATTGTAAATGGCAATTATGAACGTCAAACGCTTTGCTATCGATTAGTTATCTAAAAGAGGAGCCATCTATGTTGCTTTAATTAGAGTCCTCTACGAACGTATATTGCAATAACTAAACACTATTCCGGAATGCTTTCATCCCGACATATCGCCAAACCACACAGAGTCTACAGGGCAAAAGAATTTAATACGGGTCAGCGAAGTAAAGGGCATTTGTCCTTTAGTTTTACTAAGCATAGGGCGGGATAGAATCATTTGCATAGCCATTCTCAAAGAACTTAACTAACCCATCATATTGCTAGTTGTAAATAGGATGAATCTTTAATTAGTAACAAAATATTTTACTGTAATTTTATGAAAGTATAGAATCATCGCGTACCCATTTTGTATTCACACAATTGATTAAACTTCATTTCACTTTTGAGTTTTATCTTCATTTGTTACAAACAAGTCACCAGCTTCGACTATATCTAATAGAAAATCAATAAGTCGAAAATATCGGAATTCATTTGAATGCAACAATATATTTTCCAAATGTCCGTAACGTTGTTTAGGTTACTTTTGAAGCTGCTGTGCTGTGACGACAATAATGTCAATTTGAACATTTTCCATTAAAATGGAGCGACAAAGGCCAACAGGCAAGGGTTAACAAACGAGCTTAGCGTTGTAATGGGATTTCCCTCCGACGTCACGCTTAAGAAACTTAAGTTAGTGGATGTCTCAGCTAGACAGAGACAGACATAGACACGTAAATAGTCGGCCCTAAAAACAAAATTAATACACATACGAATCCATACAGTGACCGCAAATGTTTTAGAAAACTTTGCTATAGCAAAATTTCTCAAATTCTGGCTGAAATAGTCTATTTACAATGTAATGCAATGGCGTTCGGTCTTTAGTTTTAGATTCTATTGAAGTGCTTCATTTGTTTGACTGAAGAATTGTTTTACTAGACCAGCTATACTCTAAGTGTGTTCCGCGGAACCCTAGGGTTCCGTGATACCTCTGTCGGGGTTCCGCAAGAATTTAGAAATAAAAAAATCAAAACACCTCTCTCTGGTCGCTCCGCGGCTGTGCGGACTCCGCGGCCGCGCGGAGACAAAACGCTATGAATGTTATTTATTTATTTATTTGTATTTGTATAAGCTTGTGTTACATTAGCTGGTACAATATCTCATAAGTTTGGTCTCAACAATTTTATACTTGTACAACGCGTTCGCTCTAAGTTTGCCGGTCTGTGGAATGCGCGTACCCTCCCCCACGTGACAACAAAACTTATAATGTGTCATAGTTTTACCCAAATATCTAACGTACACAATTTTTATTGTTACAATTAAATAAAAAATTTCGAACGTCATACACTCATACCTATCGCCAGCGGCAAACTTAAAACGAGCGGGTAGTATACTTGTAAGCGCTCAGTCTCTTTGATAAAAGCCGCCTCTGAATTAGACGCTATAGTTGTCAACTAGCGACTTTCGTCTCTAACTTCAAAGGATAAAGTCGATATTGTTTACAACGCTATTTTTAAATTTCTGTTTTTATTTTTGCTTTTTGTTTATCAAAGGTGCCGACTCGAGTATTTTCGAGAATATTTGAGATCGAGTCTAGGACTAAGTATAAAAGCGGCGATCGCGCGTTGGCGTCGTCAGTTGATGATTAGCGTTCGGAGCGATAAGTTACTACCTACTTACAAGCTCGCTAGCGAGAAACTGGTGTTCATTGTTTTACTGCCTGCTGTATTCTGTTGTCTCAGTTTTATACATTTCTTCCCTGTAGGTTCTAAATTTAGTCTCTTATACGCAGTAACGATTGTGCATTATTTAAACCCCACTATCCTGACTTGTAACATTATAAATAAAGAAGAATGGAACGTTGGCTTAAAGGTGTTAAACGTGTTCCAACAACATCTTCTAATGACGCTGAATGTTCAAAAGCAATGCGCGCGGAGAATTTAGCAATCACCGATCCAGAAGATGATGCCACGAGTGCCACGACGTCAAGCTCGACGGTTTCAAAGACGAAAAAAAGGAAGTATGATGAATCTTATATCAGTTTCGGATTTGTTGATTCCAACGGCTCACCTCTCTGCATGCTCTGTAGTAAACTGCTTCCTAATAGTTCCATGGCACCTGCCAAATTGCGTCGACATTTAGAAACCGTACACCCCGAGACTAAAGACAAGAATAAAGAATTTTTTGTTCGCAAAAAAGATCAGTTATTAGAAAGTCAAAAAAATATGATGCATGTAACACAAACTACCAACGAAAAGGCCACGGAGGCATCATACTTAGTTAGCTATCGCATTGCACAAGCAGGTGAAGCGCACACTATCGCTGAGAAATTAATAAAACCATGTGTATTAGACATAACAAAATGTATGCTTGATGAAAAATCTGCAAAGCATCTTTCTACTGTTCCGCTATCAAACGATACTGTTTCACGACGAATCCATGATCTGGCAAGCTACGTCAAACAAGAACTAGTTACACGTCTACAAAATACACGATTCGCTTTGCAAATGGACGAGTCGACTGATGTCGCTGGTTTGGCTATCCTGCTGGTTATTGTGAGATATCCATATAAAAGTTCTTTTGAAGAAGACATGCTTATGTGTTCATCGCTGCTTACAAACACTACCGGGGAAGAAATTTTTAATAAAATAAATATATTTTTTGAAGAACATAATCTCAGTTGGAACAATTGCATTGACATTTGTACAGATGGGGCCAAGGCGATGACAGGTAAAACAGCAGGAGCAGTGTCACGAATGAAAAATAAAGCGCCTAATTGTAGTTCCAGTCATTGTATTCTGCATAGACAAGCACTTGCGATGAAGCAAATGCCGTCTAATCTAAAATTAGTTATGGATGAAGCGGTAAAAATAATTAATTTTATCAAATCACGACCACTACAATCCCGATTGTTCTCATTATTGTGTGAAGATTATGGCAGCAAACATAAAACACTGCTGCTCCATACAGAAGTGCGATGGCTGTCTCGGGGAAAAACTTTAACAAGGCTATTTGAACTTAGAGCCGAGTTACAAATGTTTCTTTCAGCAGATACTTCTTTTAATTTGAAGGACCGTTTGTATGATAAAACTTGGTTGTTCCGATTGTCTTTTATGGCGGATATCTTTCAAAAACTTAACGAATTAAATTTATCATTGCAAGGTAAACAGACAACAGTGTTTCAGGCCTATAATAAAATAACTACTTTTAAAAGAAAATTAGATTTTTGGATCATTTGCATTGGTAAGAAAGAAATAGAAAGTTTTACGTTACTCACTGAGTTTGTTAGCGAAAACGACTCAGAAATGTTTGAAGATAATGTGTTTGAAGAATTGGTCCAATATCTCAGTTCGATGCGCGCATCTTTTGAAAAGTATTTTCCCGAAGAACACAATACAAAAATTAAAGTGAACTCCTGGATTCATAATCCTTTTTTACCCAACTTGGAAAAGCCTGAAAACATGTCAAATGAGATATATGAATCTCTTTTAGAAATGTCATCAGACACAAGTATGGAGTCATTGTTCAAAACGACGCCTCTTAATGATTTTTGGTGCAGAATCCAAGATGAATATGCAATGCTTGGCCAAATGGCTCTGGATATTCTTCTCCCGTTCCCAACTACATATTTGTGCGAAACAGGATTCTCTACCTACGCAGCCACGAAAACAAAATATCGCAATAGACTGGACGCCGAAGCTGATATGAGACTCCAACTTTCTTCCATCAAACCTGATATCAAGCAATTGATGAAAAATAAAAAACAGTTTCATACCTCCCACTAGTTAGATTTTTTCTTTTTTAATGTTTTCTATTATTGTCCTTACCAAGTGGTGAAGTAAATAATAATTAGTAACGGATACATTGTACTTTTATTATGCTGATTAATATAGAATACACTTATAAAAATAATTGTTTTATTGTAGGGTTCCATCAAGTATTTTGCTTCCCAAAAGGGTTCCGTCATTTAAAAAGTTTGAGAACCACTGTACTAGACAAACCTGTATCAGGCTAAGATATTTCTTTGGATATAAAAAATCACAGTAAAATATTCTAAATTAATTCTTTTGAACTTATAAATGCATCTTATTTGATGTTTTAGTTACCTATAATGAAGAAAAGGAGACAGTCTTGCGTTCTTATAATAGTAAAAAGTGGTTATAAAAATTCGGCATGTCCGTTAAGGTTCTGGTAGCATAAACATTTTTTTAATTCAGTAAAATTATTATAACTCTTCTAAGTCTCATCGTTTCTGAGATGATTTAAGATATTTTGAAGATCTTTCGTTCACCTTAAAATATGTGTCTGTAGGTCGATGCTTTGAAACTAAAACGTTTCGCAACCACGCAAAATTTACACTTGTTTTACCGGTATAAGGTTGATTTTGCAATAAAATTCCCACCCTTAGTGCCTTTTAGCGTGCAACTTGTAACGCTGACCGTGTTTAACTTATAATTGAGTTATCTAAGTGCTACTGCGAAATTTATTCACTGGGAAAAGTATGTTAGAGTAGTTTAGGATGCTGAGGTTATCAAGTTTTAGAACTTAGTTGGACAGTATCTTAATGTTTGTTGTAGAGGAAAACTTTATTAATAGGATAATGCTAAATGCTGTGTGTATTTCTGTCGTGGGGCACTATTTTATAGTACAAATATCTTTTTTTTATGTGATAAGCGTGGCAAATAAGCATTTGGCCCGCCTGATGTTAAGCGTTCACCATAGCCTTAAGACGCTTGCGATACCAAAAATATCCCTGAAAGAAGCCCTGGAACCTTACTTATATTTTCTCTATCTAAACATTAATACTATAGAAAAAGTTGGTTGCGAAATGGGTTTCATCAGTAACAACGACATAAAAAGGTAACTTGTAAAAATTTAATTGGTTTGTTTTGCCGGGGGTAACTTTTTCTATGTATCCGAACAAATAACATTATTGCGAGACACGGGACCGATATCCGAATCCGATGTGTTGTTTCCTTAACGGCTGAACGAGTCCTTAACATTCGTTAGTGAAACAAATACTACTTACATGCATAATACTGAAAAGTACTTACAGAAGCGCAAGTCACATACAAATTAAGTTTATTCTATGTGTAACATCGTTAAAGTATGTAATAGTAGTATGAGATATATTATTTTTGCTTTTGTAAAGTAAAAAATCCTTTATAATTATGAACTTTGTAAATGGATAATAAATACATACAATATTCTAGCTTCGATTTTGTAGAACAACATTCTTCTCTTTAATATTCACTGGCCTGCTTATATTCAAGGATATTTATTTTTTAAATTTGCCTTGAGTTCTGAAAAGTCATACCTATATATTTATGTATTTTTCCCACAGGCGCACCTCCCGAGTATCCCGGCAAATATGAAGCGCCCATCGACATGTGTCTGCGCTCCCGGCCAGCGCCGCCTCCATACAACAGGCCATCAGTCATCAAGAGTAACGACGCACCCCCTGGTAAGAATAAATACATAGTAACATGAAGTATTTCCAATAGCCTAAGATTATGAATAAATAGATATTTCTAACACTCACGCCAATAAGGCTGCCCTAAGGGTAAGCAAAACAGCCTCACAAGGCTTGTTATTTTAATCACATATAAAAATGTTTCCAAAAGCTTAAGATTACAAAGTATTAATATATCTAAAACACACCAATTAGCTTAGCCCTAAAGGAAGCACTTTAAGGCTCATGTTATAAGATACAAAAGTAAAGGAACGCATAGAAAAATATATAAAGACACATAGTAAATACTTGGGTATATTTCTGTGGAAATAAATATAAACAGCCATGACTTAGCTGCAAATGCTCGTATTCATCATACACCTATTTGACGCACCGGTATTTGAAACTCAGGACTTCTGTGTAAGCGACACCTCGAAAACCAGTGTACATTAATATGTACACTGGTGAGATCCTCGTAGATAGATTTCATTTTAATTAAACACGAAAACCCTCTCTTTGCAGGTTCGATGTCAATGTGCGATCCAGTCATCGACGAACATTTCAGGCGTTCACTCGGCGATGACTACATGAATCTATTCAAGAAAACCTCTGACAATAGTACTGCAAATGCACAACCAGGACCGAAACCCAACACCAAAGATAGAGCGAGCAGCCCTATCCAGTTCAAACCAGAAGAACCACCGAAACCAACTAAAATCATAGCTATGGAAGTTGACGATGCTAATTTGTCTGTCGACGACCACTTTGCGAAGGCACTCGGTGACACTTGGCGACAGATACAAACATCAAGACTAAAAGAAAACGATAAAACGCAAACGAAAGGCGTAGACGATCACTTCAGCAAAGCTCTTGGTGATACCTGGAAGAAAATACAGTCTTCAAAACTCAAACTAGATAAGGAAGAAAAAGCTAAGGAGCAGACGACAAAAATAATTTCAAGGAGTGGCGTAGTAATATAATGGCTGGCTGAGCGACTCGGTGGTTCAGTTTACGGCCTTGTAAAATTTACGAGGCATTTTCATGATACTCAGTGGAGTATCAATAAATTCCCACTTGTTTAACATAAAGGAAGCTATTTCACATTGTTGGCGCAAATTAAGCGACAGCCAATGGGTAGTCGATTTGTCAATTCTGAATTCGTTGATAATAAAAATCATCTCGAATTTCTTTAATATTATCTATCTATGAATCTTTTATTCCGATTTTCTCTGTTAAACTGTAGACACTTCTGCGTAAATATTGCAATGATAATTCCTAAATAAAAATACATAAGCTTTACGACTACCACAATATTCCGATCCATGACAATTCTGTTACCTTAGGTTATGGGTAATGTTTTTGAGATGTTATTTAGAAATAATTAAGAAATATATTTTGGTTTATATATGAATAGTCATTTAGTAGTCACCAGTAAAATGCTGTAAGTTATTACCTCAATGTAAGCGCTTTTGCACAATTCACTATAGATTTATACATAATTTCGATTTTAAGTGTTGTAAATAATTATATTTAGTCATTGTACTGGAAGTTTGGAAGAGTGTTATGGTTAATTTCTGTGACTAATTATTATGTTCCTTAAAATAAACTATGGGTGTATATTATGTGGTAAGAGAGTATACAGGCGTATTATTAAATAAAAATAAAATAATCGCAACGAAATTTGTTAGTTTCTAAAACATATTCAATCAGTAGTCTTTTTGTGTAATTCGTGATCGGACAATTGTCACTATTTAGGCTTATAATTTAGTCAATCCATTTATTCAGCAATTATTTCAAACGTGTAATAGGTAAGTTGCCTATTAAGTCATAGTTTTATTAAACTTAAAATTATCAAAGCCAACATGACTTAATTTACTCTAAGTATTTTGTGTAAGTATTGGCAGTAATCATTAAAATTACTGAAAGTATAGCTTGTATGTAAAAATAAATGAAAATTGACTGTACAGCAATTCAAGCTAATGCTAGCTAGTTCTAAACATCAGGCATCATTTATATTACAAATTATAGAACGCAATTCTGTGTATAATGTTGTAGCACAGTAGATAAATAATGGTGTTTTAGCTAAAGAAAGTTTACATACAACTTGTAAACAGTTTAATAAGCTACAATGAAAAACGGTGTAGTTCCTCTTTTTACCACGAATCAATACAATATGACACTATTTTTTCGTAAAGCGCGAAAGTTTATTCTTTATTTTCTTATTCAAAAAAAGTACACCAGTTCTTTTTTTATCAGTGGATATGGCCAGGCAGCAGGCTGTCGGTCTGTATCTATGTAATTAGTATGTGTGTCTGTCTGTAAATAATTGTTTTCCTATTTATGCACTTTATATGTAAGGTTTTTTCTGAAAATAAGGAAATACAAATAAATTACTGACAATGAATTAGTCTTATTTATTTAAAAGAATCCTAAAACAGCCATTAACCGAAAATGGAATAGAATTATAGCGATCTGCGATCTGTGTTCAGAGTAGTTAAATAGCTTTCACAGTGCAACGATCAAAGGATGCGTGACCAAAACTTTATCTCGAACTTCTCCAGCTTCAATAGGCACGTGAAGACTTAAGTCTCGGCTGCATCAGCCGACGATAGCACTAGTCTCGCTTAGTTAAGCTTGGCCCATTATTCCTATTCCGTTCATAGAGGAGAACAATGCCTCGGCAGTGGGGACATGAATAGTTTGATGACGAAGATTTTTATCATCTCAAATGTGTTTTTCTTTTGCCTTCGAACGGCATTCTAACTTTCACTTGTGTTTATCTGTATCAACGAACACACAGAAGGGTGCTTCCTAGACTTATCATAATGGCTTTTCATTTTTTTGCGAGATGAACTCTGCTACAAAATCTTCCATAATATGACCAACATTTAACACTATTAATTAATCTATCTTCTTAACGAAAATTTCCTATAACCTTCGCCAAGGTCTCCATCTCACCAAATTTTATAAAAAATAGTTCCTGCTGAACTGGCGTTAAAAGCCAATAAGCATAATATACAACGGATGGATAGACGATTACTTTTGGATTTTTAATATTAGTATTGATTAATGGATAGATCACCCACCAATCCTCACTGGGCCCGCGTGGTAGGTCTCGGCCCAATCTCACTATTCCATCTGTAGGGAAGGTCTGTGCCCCAGCAGTGGGAACACTAAGGCCTGTATTATAGAAAGATTCTCAGTGATTGATCTAGTCTTGAGCATAGTTAGAAAGTGATGTCGCTATGTATAGCACATAGCGATATCCCTTTCTAACTGTACTCAAGTAAAGATCGACACTTAGTTGTCATTCTGTAATACGCACCTAAGAGCGGACGCGAGCTGAGAGACATCTGAGAAATAAGTATTTGAATAAGCTATTGCTGTTGCGAATGCGCAAATACCGTACGATAGGGACAACAGTAGCTAACTATGAAAATTGCGTATAAGAATTGCAAAATTCAAGGTTTGGCTGTCGACGATTTTCTCCTCGAAAATTAGATAAGTATCTCCAAACTAGACGTTTTTGTGGTGATAAAAAAAATATTTTTGGTATTTTTGAGGACTTCTAGTTGTTTTGAAACAAATTATGGAAAAAAGAAAGAAATAGGAGCATAGAATGAGTAACATTATATTTTATGTATGAAAATAATTTCTTTAGTGTTATCAAGAAAGAATCAGTTGTGAACGTTTGTATGGAAAAAAACATTCAAAAAAAAAAAATTCAATATCGTTTATTCAGTCTAGGCTGTTACAAGCACTTGTGAATGTCGAAAAGCTACGCCATCGGTTCGCAAATCTACGGCGGGAGACCTTGTACTGAGAAGAACCGGCAAGAAACTCAGCAAGGGCTGTTTTTTTCTCCCTGTATTATATACAGAGTCGTCAAATTGAAAAATGACTTCAATATGAGGTAACTCATAAAGTCACTTTTCATTACAAACAAAAAAAAATGCAAATAATATAAAAATTATGACTATAAAAAAAAAAAAAAATATGTAAAAAAATGGTTTAACAAAAATGTTTAGGAATGACGTGTCCTACCGTTAGGCAAAAAAAAATAATAATAATGAACGATTAAAGTTTAGAGCAACGATTAATAGTACCCAGTGAATTAAGAGCAGACTCATCTCCGCTGGCAGCACCCGTTCACGAGCATGACGCATGAACCAGCCATCGCTTCGCTCAACCATTTTTTAGGGAACGCAACGACCCGCCTCACACGACACCACCGAAGAGATTTTTAAGAGAGCATGACTACTCATAACCACACATGGATACTATGTTACTAAATAGAAAAAAAAAATACATATAGGTACCAGTGTACATTATTATAACAAACTATAAACACAACGGCAGGACACATGCATGTGATTACCTAAACACTGTTGTCGACTGGCAATACTCTCCCAACCCAAAACCAATCAACATCAGTCCCCTTTCAGTCTGTATAGAGAATGACAAGGATACACCACTGCAAAACCAAGTTCAGGTCTAGAAAAACATACCAGAATCCACACCGCCATTAAATCTTTATCAGAGAAATAATATATGTTCACTTACATTTTGATTGCTGTGTCATACAGTATAAATACAAGTTGTGTAATGTAAAATACAATCAAAAATTTAATAATAATTATCATTACAATAATAAAGTAGTATAGAGCAGACTCATCTCCGCTGGCAGCACCCGTTCACGAGCATGACGCATGAACCAGCCATCGCTTCGCTCAACCATATTTTAGGGAACGCAACGACCCGCCTCACACGACACCGCCGAAGAGATTTTTAAGAGAGCATGACTACCCATAACCACTAAAACCAATCTGCAAAATGGTTACTTAGAGTTAAGGTAATTTATCTGTACGACACTGCAAACAAATACAAAACAATTTTGCAGTTACAGCCATGCAGTTTTGTCATTCAAGTATTCTTTAATAGTATAATAGCCTTTCTTAACTAAACAACTTTTAATGTGACATTTGAACTCATTTATGGGTAACTCAAGAACAGCATCAGGAATTTTATTGTAAAAATGTATACCTTGACCCATAAAAGATCGGTAAAGCTTCTGTAACCTGTAGGCTGGCAATGCAAGCTTGTTTCTATTCCTAGTATTAAAATTGTGTACGTTACTGTGTTTGGTATACAAATTGATATTATTTTTAACGAGGAGTATGCAATTGTAAATGAATTGAGAAGCAACAGTCAAAATGCCAATTTCTTTAAATTTTTCTCTAAGAGATGTTCGGCTACTCAATTGATAAATAGATCTCAGCTCTTTTTTGTAAAATGAAAATACTTTCAATATCAGCTGCTGTTCCCCAGAGTAAAATGCCGTATGATAAGATACTATGAAAGTAACTAAAATATACAGTCCTGGCAGTATCTATATCAGTAAGTTGTCTTATCTTTCTTATGGCATAAGCTGCTGAACTAAGTTTACCAGCCAAAAGCGTAATGTGATGACTCCATTGCAGTTTTGAGTCTATCGTTATACCCAAGAATGTAGTCGAGTCTACTAAATCTAATTTTTCATTATTTAATTTAATTCCAATATGCTCAACTTTTACATTAGGTAAGGAAAATTGAATACACTTGGTTTTATTAGCATTTAGCTTTAGATTATTGACATTAAACCATTGCAGAACTTGCGAGAGAGCATTATTTACATCGTCATAGTTGTTTTTGCGCCTGTCAACGTTAAATAATAAAGATGTGTCATCAGCAAATAATACAATCTCACACAAATTTTCCACAAAAAATGGCAAATCATTTACATATATTAGAAACAGGAAGGGACCTAAAATTGAACCCTGGGGAACGCCCATTTCCACATGAGATCCAGATGATCTAACACCATTTACCTCTACAGTTTGTATTCTGGAACTGAGGTACGACTGTAATTTATATGCAGTACCTTTGACTCCATAATGACTCAATTTCAATAACAGCGTGTGATGATCAACGCAATAAAAGCTTTGGATAAGTCGCAGAACACTCCAAGGACATTCTGCGACCTCTCCCAAGCCTCCAATATACTCCTTACAAGTGCAACACCGCATCAGTAGTAGATCTACCTCTAGTAAAACCAAATTGTTTCCTATGCAAAAGTTTATTAAGGTTGAAATGAGGCATCAATTGTTCCAGAATAATTCTTTCAAATATTTTACTAAGAACCGGTAATATTGATATAGGCCTATAGTTTCCAGGGTCATTTCTATTTCCTGATTTAAAAAGAGGTATAACTTTACTGTATTTCATTAAATCCGGAAATACTCCTTGATCAATACAGTTATTAAATATATCAACTAGATAAGGAGCAATAACGGGTATTATACTTTTAATAACTTTAGTAGAAATACCCCATAAATCACTTGTATTTTTTTGTTTAAGAGATTTAAAACACTTA